CGTAAAGTTGTATTCGAAAGAATAAACCAGTTTTATTAAGTAAGGACTTGTGTCGCTAAAGTTTCGTCGGAACGAAGTTACGGAAAACTAACTAGCGAACGGAGACGTAACATAATGTTTTCGTAAAATTACTGATGTCCGATGTGAATCCACTGAAGTTAAATGGTTTGTAATGTTCGAAATTTAGAAACGTTGTTGGCAAATATCTTAAGTTTTCCGATTAGTAAGCGTTAATCACAGTTATAACTTCCGAAGTTTATAGTACACCAACTATATCAAACCGATAATAGATACTCTTTTTTGGCGCGTCGCGTTGGTTGTACTTATAGGCGTATGGAGAGTTTCTCGAAAATTCAGATTACTTAACAATACAAAGCTACATTAGCGTTTACGTACACACACATATATTGTTGATTCTTATACTCGAGAATCTTCTACGACTTCAGGAAATAGGCGGGAGTTTCGCAATACATATTTAACAGTATAATTTATGTACATTTCTAAATATAAATTTAAACAAACATCGATATTAGAATAAATATAGAATAATAAATCCGTCACATTTTTAACAACAGGTATCTAATTTAAATAAGATTATTTTAATAATATTAACTATACAACTACTTTACACTTGAAAAGTTTGGTATAGTCTTGGTACAGGAATTCTCTAAACAATAATCTCCTCAAGGTTCTTCTAGTAATAATGCACATATGTGTTTGATTTAAGTAGCATCTGTCCTCTTCACAAACCTTTAAACTTGTTCCACTTGCATTATTCCAATTTCTTTTCTCCAGTCTTTTAGTTGATCAGTGAGATCTTTGTTCTATCGTTAAAATTTTATGTTCCCTTAGTTTGTATTACTGCTTCAACTGTCTCCTCTCTTAACTGATGATGTGAGTGTTTAAAAGAATTTGTCTAAGATCTGTAGCTTGTGTGTTATGTTTGTTTGAAGTAATTTATACAGTGGGATACACTTATCAAGTTTTGCAATTAAAAGTTCTTTCAATGATTATATTCTAAGATTATAGTACCTCCCTAATATAATAAATAAGTGTATGCAGCTTGGATGATGATACTGTTGGGTGCAAACGTACATCCACAGTAAGCAGCGTATGCTAACATTTTAGTACATGCCTCTTCCACTAGAAACAGGCCAGGCCCAAAATTCAAGCACAATTTAAAATATAAAATGTGAGTAGATTATTATTGATTTCCGAGTCTGCTATTAAATTACAAGAGTCTGAGATATTGAGCTATTATTTAACTGAGTTTGCCAGCTAGTCTAGTTTTGGAACATTAAGGTTATTTCCTCGTCGAAGTAATGAAATATATGTCGTTAGTTCTATAGAGCTCACAAATTAGCAACTAAATGAAATTTTTGTATCAGCACCTACTCTCAACTTAAGCCTATCAGTGACCGTTAGTTAAGCTAACTTGTAGTCGAAGAAATATATTGTTTTGATTATTATCCATATAATTATCTGTTGTATGTCCATGTAACTACTTTTACCAAAATTGGTATGGAGGTTCGTTGGGCCCATGGGGAGATACATCAAATTTTCAGTTTTGCATTTTGCGGCTTTTATGGACGTTTTTTTTTTATCACTACCTCACCTCCTGTGGATGGATCTTCACCAATTTGGTATGGATGTTCATTGGGTCCATGGGGAGATACATACACATTTCTAGTTTTTCGGTTTTTATAAGCGTTTTCGCGTGTTTTTTGTTGTTTTTTTTTTACCACTATTCGCCCCTTGTTTATGGATCTTCATCAAATTTGGCATGAAGCTTTGTTGGGTCCATGCGGAGACAGCCCGGCATGGCCAGGTGGTTAGGACGCTCGACTCGCAATCTAAGGGTCGCGGGTTCGCATCCCCGTCCCACCAAACATGCTCGCCCTTTCAGCCGTGGGGGCGTTATAATGTGACGGTCAATCCCACTATTCATTGGTAAAAGAGTAGCCCAAGAGTTGGCGGTGGGTGGTGATGACTAGCTGCCTTCCCTCTAGTCTTACACTGCTAAATTAGGGACGGCTAGCGCAGATAACCCCTCGTGCAGTTTTGCGCGAAATTCAAAAACAAACAAACAAACCATGCGGAGATACATGCAAACTTGCGGTTTCTCATTTTTGTGTTTTGCAGTTTTTTATGAGCATTTTTTACAAATACATATAAGGGAAGCAACTTTTCATGTCGAAAAATAACCTTTCATTAATCATGAATTTA